CTTCCCTCTAGTCTTACACTGCTAAATTAGGGACGGCTAGCGCAGATAGCCCTCGAGTAGCTTCGCGCGAAATTGAACCCAAACAAATTTTATTTCTTTTGTTTTCTTTTTCTAGATTCCTTTACCTCATTTTGGATTGGATGAGTCACAACGGGTATGCGACGTCTGTCGTTCTACAGCCGAACTTGTTGGATTATCTCGTTCCCAGTATGTGGTAAGAATTCTCTTTTTTTAAATTTCTCTTACAGCTCTCAAAAGCAACAAACTTTTAGTTCATAAAAACTGAAAATGGATTGTTCTAGCCTACAGCAAAATAACTATTGTGATAATGGGCAAATTGATTAAATACTATAAAGTATATAAATATATTTTTCTGTAATGGCTGTTAAAATAATGATACTACGAAAATTTTGCACACAAATGTTATATTTCTTAAATAAATAAATATTTCTATGTAAGTGGACGAAATTCCTTTTTCTAATTAAAAGGACTTCCTATTACGATTTCGGGCATGTTAAGAAGACCTATCTTTAGTATTTATTTAGTCATCCCATAGAGCAGACACAGTAAAAACTACATACACAGCGATTTTATCTTTATTATTTATCTAGTTAAAAAGATCAGATTGCTGAGTGTAGAATTTAAAGGTAGAGTCCCTGTGTCTGGTCTATGTAGGTTCGGTCGACAAAAACTGGAAGTGGAAACATGGAATCCCAACATTTTTTATTTCCAAGAGGTTTTACTGAAGTAAATGTTTGATTCCTTTTAATATAAAGTTTTACATTAACGCATAAAATCTATCAGACATTTGTAATACATTAAAACTGTAAGATGTCGCTTGTACACCAACAGGGTTAGCTCTCACCCTAATATTTATTTGTAGCTACTTAACTGACAAAAGATAGGGTCACCGTGTCTGCATTGCGTGATAATTAGATAACTGATAAAGGTAAGATTAGTGTGTCTGGATTGTGTGATAGTTATATAACTGATAAAGGTAAGATCGCTGTGTCTGGATTGTGTGATAATCATATAACTGATAAAGGTAAGATTAGTGTGTCTGGATTGCGTGATAATTATATAACTGATAAAGGTAAGATTAGTGTGTCTGGATTGCGTGATAGTTATATAACTGATAAAGGTAATATTAGTATGTCTGGATTGTGTGATAGTTATATAACTGATAAAGGTAAGATTAGTGTGTCTGGATTGCGTGATTATCATATAACTGATAAAGGTAAGATTAGTGTGTCTGGATTGCGTGATTATCATATAACTGATAAAGGTAAGATTAGTGTGTCTGGATTGCGTGATAGTTATATAACTGATAAAGGTAAGATTAGTGTATCTGGATTGTGTGATAGTTATATAACTGATAAAGGTAAGATTAGTGTGTCTGGATTGCGTGATAGTTATATAACTGATAAAGGTAAGATTAGTGTGTCTGGATTGCGTGATAATTATATAACTGATAAGGTAAGGCCACTGAGTTTGCTCCGTGTGATAATTATATAACGATAAAGATAGGGTCACTGGATTTGCTCCGTGTGATAATTAGATAACTAATAAGGAAGGGCCACTGAGTTTGCTCCGTGTGATAATTATATAACGATAAAGATAGGGTCACTGGATTTGCTCCGTGTGATAATTAGATAACTAATAAAGGTCACTGTGTCTCCTTGATGCATCCTTTAGCCAGAACATTTTCTAATTAACACTGTAGATCATAAGTCAATGCTAGAACAGCTAATGCTAAACAGAAGTGAGATGTTGTTTAAGTTGTTTGTTAATATAATTAGCATCGCAACCACTACTGTGGCTGTTGTATAACCTAAAGAACCCTAGTAGCGAAAGGCCTCGTCGACAGTGAAAGTAGCAGATATATTATTATTCTGCACTCTTCCTTACCTTCTCGCAGAAGTTGTCATTAATAATTGCTTGTGTTTCCTGCACATTAAATTATTTTATGAGCGTGGTCCAACTGTCAATCCGCAGGCTGCATCGAGCCCCACGGCTGACAGCGTTGGTCTACGTACTATGAATCACACGTTAATGTTAAAGCTATTTATTATTATTATTTTTACGTACAATACAAATTTTAATAGGAAAGTATCATTATAGTTAGTGATATAAGTAATCAATTTCGGCCTTCTGATTCTTCCATCTTCTAGTCTGACCCTCTATATGTAAAAGGCTTAACCACCCTGCTTTTAATGACACTTATCTTTATATTTAACATCAGCCAAAATGCACTCACCTTAATCTTATTATCCCCTTGTGAAGTTAGGGATATGAGAATATGGACTCCGCCAGCCTCGATCATCTGGTACAAAAATAAAAGATCGATTTTATTATATCCTGAGATTGTGAAAGCTGGGTATGAAATAGCTACAAATGGCGAAAATAGGTTAGTTCTACGCATAGCATTGTATTTATTTCTAAGTTTTGTATTATTTGTCTTACCTTTCCCATTTCTGCAAGACTTTCTGTCATATCAGCAAGCCCCTTTGCGGCATCTTGTCTGTTAGACTGTTAGACAAAATAAGATTAACATTTACATTAAAAAAATTAAACATTTGTACCAATATTTTGGCATAATTTTGTTATGTAACTGTTACAAACAAATAGACATTTGTGCAATTTGATTAGCTTACAAGTTCAGAAATTGTATGAGATAAACAATAAAGATCAGATTGCTGAGTGTAGAATTTAAAGGTAGAGTCCCTGTGTCTGGTCTATGTAGCAACTAGATAAATAATAAAGATAGAATCGCTGTGTATGTAGTTTTTACTGTGTCTGCTCTATGCGATGACTAAATAAATACTGTAATGTCATTAGTCATTGTTTTATTGTACTCAACTAAAAGCATGCATTTTTACTTTACAGAAAGCTGTAAGTAGACTTCCCAAACTGTCCACCAGGGTATCCTCCTGGTCCGGAGTCACGGAAGATAAGATGCTGAATAAAATCCAAATAATTAGTCAAGTTTTGCACAAAAATTGTATTTAAATAGATGAAATCTAAAATCACTTCGACATTTATGACAATCAAGTTAAATCTGAACGCATCAGCAGATAAGAGTAACAACATCGGAGGCTAGACGCGGAATTCCTGTATTTTCTAATGCGTCTTTTGCCGTTCATATAACACATATTTTCGTTATTCTAAAAATACATTGTTTTTCATACAACTTTTGTATAGTTCATTAGAAGCATTTAAAAACAGATCTTTCCCTCACTGGGAGTGGCCTAGTAGTTAGTTATGGATCCAAGATTTCAAGGTTCGCGTCCCGTTGCGTTATAAAAGTAACAGTCAGATCCCAATATTCTATTAAAGTATTCAGAGTTCGTAGGCAGGTAGAGTGGGGTACTGTTAACTAGAATTACGGACGGCTAAGTAGATCCTTCCTTTAATTGTTGCCCCCCCCTCGGTGGCACAGCGGTATGTCTGAGGACTTACAACGCTAGAATCCGGGTTTCGATACACGTGGTGGGCAGAGCACAGATAGCCCGTTGTGTAGCTTTGTGCTTAACTTCAAACAAACAAACAAATCCTTTGATTGTTTACTATCTTTTGTTCATGCTATTTTATACGTTTCCTTTTCAAGAAAAAAGTTCTTCCCTTTTATTACTGGTGCTTTACTGGTTTACTCTTAGAATCGAGATTATATTTAGGAGGCTATTATGAAACTCGTGCCGTGAGCCTAAAAACATACAATATGTAGAAGATTGTTATCACAAATACAATAATGCATGAAATGTTTTATCGGTACCTGCATATTTATCCAATTAACTACTGATAAAGGAAAACAAAATTAAGTGTACAGTTCAGATGTTCTCGTGATATTACGTATTAATTTCTAAGAATTGGGAGTTATAAGACAAGTCTAGGGGGAATCGAACTCACCTGACTGTAATAGTAGGCGTACTTTTAGTGAACTACTATTGACATACATTGTTAATCAAATTGTGAATATAACTCTGTAAAAAATGTCGTAACATATTCATTTTGACTCCACCCTCACCCGTCAAATTATATCACACTATAAACCTTTCCAGCCACTTGTTGGGCTAATTTGTTTATAAAACTTACATTGCCGATAACCTGAGATTTAACTGTCGAGTATCATTTATGTCACATGATCACGTTAGACTTACTGTAGTATGGCTTTAATAGCTCCGATCTCCATCAAAAAATCATGGAATTGAATGTGGTGAGATATTCTATGAAGACCTTTCGCCAAAATAAATTGTGATATAAAGTCATTGTGTGTATTTAAAACAAAAAACTGGATTTTATCTAAATAGCTATCTTTCATTCATGCTATGACTGCCACAGTTATTTGTTATTTTAGAACCAGCTTAAGGTTTAGCGTTTTTTCACATGACTTCAGTTCCTAAGATGGTACACTGTCTGAAATATTTTTACGAGTGTCATCTATATTAAGAAGTCTAAGATCAAACTTTTTTACCTTTCAGTTTATAAACAGAGCTGCGAAAAAACAGTTGCGAGTCGAGCGCTTTAATTACCAAGCCCTTCTTGTTTTGTTTTTTCTGTATTATATTTAGCTGGCGAGTGATTGATTGTAAACTACTCAGCAGACACCAGATAGAGAAATATTTAGCATTTTGCAAGCTTTATTATTTTTGGATTTTTAGTGATTTTATGATAAACTTTTTACAGAAACTATTTATTTGCCAATATTTGTCTTAAACAAAATTTGTTATTATTATTTTTCAAATAAATTAAGCCAACAAATTTAAATTCAACACTGGGGATAGATATTGTAAAATAAAATGTTAATTCTATTGATAGAAATAAATTTTTTGTATAAAATTATGGAGTAGAACTAATGATATACAGAAAGTAAACTTCTACTCAGTTTTTTACACTCAAACAAAATAAAATATTGCGATGGTAATGAACAAGTGTCGTAAATATTTCGTTTAAGTTTAGAAAAACGTCTTAGATTATTTCAATTTAAAATTTTATCCGAGATATTAATTGTCCAAACAAAAACAAAAGCTTTGTTCTGTTGCTTGACTGTTTTTTTTTCTTTTTCTTCTCCATTTCGTCAATTTAGGTGCCACCGTTCATTTCCACATGTGGTTATAATTTTACAACAGAAAACGTTTTAATTTTTACAAGTCAGTGATGACATAAGTTGACACTTCATAATGGAGTTTGTTTGCCATAACTAAGACATAAATTTATCAAAATATTATCATAACCAACAACAGCAAAGCAAATAATGAAACGAAATTATTGAGAGAATGTTTTATCTACAAATGTGTGCACACTTATTATCATTTCACGAGATTTACACACAAAATATTCACTGATTTGCTATAGAAATTAACTTGCAATTATCGCAAAATACTCTTACAAGAAACTATTTCATAATTAGTAAACGAATAACATCGATCTTTCTTTAATAATAATATTTAGTGTGGTCATCTTTGACATCAATAACAGTTTGGCATCTTTGTGCCATTGTATTCTCCCAGTGTCTCTGGTATAATTTTACTCCATTTTTATTGAAGCTTTCTTTAGTGCAGATGGTACTTTTGTCAAGCATAGAGTCCAATACATCTTAGATTTGTTTTATGGGATTAGGGTCTGGACTTTGTGGCGGCCATTTCGTTCGCTGGAGATCTACTGAGCTTTCTTTGACAGTTAAACTCAACATTCCTTAAAAGTATGTTTGGGATCTCGAAATATGAAATTCTGTTCAATCAGCTTCTTTCCGGAGGGTATAGTATGATAGACTAATATACTGTAATATTTATGCTGATCCAAGATTCCATCAATTCTGTGAAGATAGCCAACAACGTTAACAGATATTGCACGCCAAACCATCATACAGCCTCCTGCATGCCTGACTGATTACACAAAGTATTTCTTGTGCAACCCCTCATTGAATCTTTGGCGAACATATACATGCTGGTTGGAACCAAACTGTTCAAATTAAGGCTCGTCCGTCCAAAGTATCTTTAATTTTTCTGAGGACCAGGATAAAAGTTCTTTCTTAAATGCTAGTTTTTTTGCTATGTTATCTTTACGTATTAAGGATTTTCTTGTTGTTTTTAAGACTAATTTTTTAAACTTTATCTGTTTGTGACTTTTTAATGTCATCGGCCAGATTTTTCACAGTTTTCCTTTGGTTATATAGGGAATTGATTTTTAGATCTTTAACATCTTTTTCATTGAACTTTTTTACGTCATTTCTTTTGTCTGATATTATTGCACTGGGTTTCTTTGTATCTGTTTAATGTATACTTCACAGTGCTTGGTGAACAGCCGAGGTCTTTTGTACTTTTTCTTAAACTCCAGCCAACCTCATGTAAGGATTTGACTCTGTCTCTTTCAAAGTGTGCATTTTCTCTCCGTTTTTATATCTTGATTGCAACAACACCATATTAGCTATATTGATCTATTTTTAAAAATCGATCTTATATACCTGGAGCTCCCTGAATTTGAAAATCTCGAATTTTTGTCAACAGTGGATTACACAGAAACCAAAGAAAATCATATGTGACAATCTTGCACTGTCTTGTATTAAGATAAGGCATCTGGAACAACTTATAAAAATGCACTGTACTTAATCATTTGTGGCTATGTTTTGCTTTTCTCTTAAAATTTTAGCTTAATTAAATGAGTAGTCGTGGATGCTTTTCCAACTTCTTAAACTACACTTGTTTTATTTCATAGGCACAACAAGCCAAAAATACAGAATCAGTGAAAAGTTATAATAAATTTGTACACTACTGTATTTAGATAATTATCAAAACTCATGCGTAAAATGTGAATTTTCCTTAGAATCTCACGATACAAAATATTTTACTTGTGTCGCCATCTAGTAACTGTTACGTTATTAAAAGTTATTATCCGGTTCCAACAATTATGTAATAGTCTAGCAAAAGGGTGAAAAATTATGGGACTTATGCTAAAAATACACAATATTGCCCGTGCATAGAGTTTCACCTACTAATCAAAATTAGATATAGACCCAATTGTAATTTTTCAAAATGATCGCAATTTTCAAGATGACCGCCATTTTGATATTATATTAATCTTTCCAGGTTCTATTTTTTTTTAAGAAAAAAAGCTCGAAGCTCTCCTTCCTTCGTCTTATTTCCAAGTCTTCACAAACACAGCTTCTCCTGATCTCTTGAAACGCTCCGCCAAGTTTGTATAACATCAAAAATCTATGCTTCTAATTTAAAACTCCATCCCAGTAAGTCCAAAATCATTCATATTTATGCGACTTGTAATTTTATTTCAGGAAGTGGGGTGAAGGAAAACAACAGTTTCTGACTGCCCCTGATTATCTTTCAAACCCCTTCGGGGTCTCACCTAAATAACTACCACGGATCGGATTTTTTTTAACGAAAGTTAAAAATGACGGTGTTGACAATATAACTGTGATAAAGCAAAGTAACTATAAAAAGCTAAACTATTGAAAACCTACAGAAAAGTATTTTACCATGAAAACCGTACACCGCAATAATTAGTACAAATTTGGCTTAACAATATCGGGGACAAAACATAACCATTTAATATGAGATTTATTTGCCAAACATTACAAATCTAGTTGACCATTAAACATACATTTTTTCACTTTTTTCTTTAACGAATTGACTCTTAGTTTTTAACACGTCCTAAGTACATTTAGTCAGTTACTTTCCTAAATTGATTCTAAAATAACTATGGCATCATTTTGTAGTGTATGATTTAGCTTTTTACGTTTTCCCTGCAATATTTTGATCATACGTACAACTTTAAGGTTTAATTTTTTAATGTAATATATGAATCTGTTAAGCTGTTACAACTTACTATTAATTATAAGTATCTTAAACGATAACTTAAACAAATGTACCTCATTGTCTTTCATCCTAAAGGTCATAAACAGTCTCGAAAGAACTGAAGGACTGCTCTGTGAAGAGATAATATTGTATTAGTAACAACAACGATAACAAACAGAACAATCTAATCTTCAATTCGTTGTACAGTTCGTTTATTGGAGCGCTTATAATATACGTTATTTGTCATTAAAATGCGTTTCAAAGTGTATTAAAGTTTTTTTATCTTTAGCATACCTTCGTGAGACCCATTTATAGTGATTTTTGGTTTGTTTGCTTGTTTTATAGCAAAGCCACATTGGGCTATGTTCCACCACGAGGAATCGAACACTGGATTTTAGCGTTGAAAATCCACAAACTTACCACTGTCCCACCGAAGGATGTCGTTTTTTGCATGTTTAGAATACAATTACTCAGTTGGATTGGATTAAATTATATCATAATTTATGGGGGGAAAAGTTTTAGAACAAGAAGTTGTGTTTTCACGAAATTTATACTCAGTGTCTCAGATTGCGAGTCGAGCGCCTTATCCACCTGGCCGGGCCTTCAATCTGTGATACGAATTTGTTTTGAAGCTCATACATGATGATACAAGTAATCTGATACCATTTTAAACACTTCACAAATTTCATGTTTTTCTCGACTCATGACTTCAGTTACCTCACTCTTCTAGTCCTCATTGAGTTTCTAAAAGAATTAATTTATTAATCTATTAAATCCAAAATTTTAATCTTTAAACATTGAGTTACAATATGAATCGAACGTTAAGCCGTATCCCTCTCGTAATAACTCTTGCTTGGCTCGGAAATGAAAAAAATGGAATTTTCAACCTGAGTGGCACATCATGCGCACGTAGGATGAAAGGTTTGTTAGAGACCCCTAGGATTACGATGTAATTGTCGATGGGTCTGAACTCTTAGCTAGAGGGAAGGCAACCAGCCAGCAGCATCGACCGCCACAAGGGGTCTGCTTTGAATTGGACAATGAGATTGACTATAACTTTCATAAAGCACCAATGTGCTCAGTGGGTTCACTTCTCGAATCTCGGACCTTTCGATTTTGAGTCTGACACGCTAACCACTAGAATAAGTTTTACCTGCTAGGATCAAAAAGTGTTTTGAATTTTTTGACATTTTTTTTAACTTGGATGTGTTTATATAATTTTAACAAATAAAAATATATCCAAGTGAGTCTTCTAAAATGTTGGATAGAAATCTGGGTTGAATGTTTATGATAAAAATATATTATTTGGATATTAATTCCATGATATAAAGCGAAGCAAATTATAGTTAATGTTATTTCAAGCAGATGGCGGCCGAAGCGTGTATTCGCTACGGCCGCCCATCCGTTTTTAAAACTTGATTAGACTATTATTACTCAACTAAAATATAGCTCTTCAGAATCAGTTTTATTATAGTGTCCCGAAATAGAAACACCAAAATATCATTAAGTTTGTTTGTTTTAGTGCAAAGCTACACAATAGAATATCTGCGTTCTGTCCACCTAGAGGAATCGAACCCCAGGTTTTAGGGCTTCGTGTCCGTAAACATACCGATAACTCATTGGGTGACAGGAAGATAAAATGAATACAGAAAATAGTGTATATTATAAAAATTGTATACATTGTATAAATAATAGAATATTATCAAATACCATGCGCTTCGTATTTCGCCACAATTCAAAAAGTCGCGTAACGAAATAGCTGATTTACTTACGAAATAATTCATCAAAACAAATAGACCAATACAGGAGCTTAAATTAAAACGTAAAATAGAATGACTAAAAGCAATTAATTAGAACACGTAATAATAATTTTTCTCCAAACATTTAACACTAATGAGCAATGGGTTCAAGATAAACAAACTTACAGAGTCGTTGTATTTGTAAGATAGTTTATTAACCAACAAAAGTAACCGTTAACCACAATAAGGATTCGAATAAATACACCATTCCCGTTTCAATGTCTATTATTATTATTATTACTACGTGTTTTATATTTGATTTGCAATAAAAAGAATTGTATACGCAAGGTTTTTGAGGTTATATATTTAGTTTCCATAAAATTCTCTTATAAATTTGGCTTTTTTTGTTTCTCTCTTAATTCTATCGTTTGAAAAACAGTTGAAACTATACGAGTCAAGTTACAATTAAATGTTTTAGCATCAAATAAAACTCATAATCATTGACTAGTGGCTCCACTTTTTGCCATCCCCTCTGACACAGCGGTATGTCTGCGGACTTACAAAGGCTAGAATCCGGGTTTCGATACTCGTGGTGAGCAGTGCACAGATAGCCCATTGTGTAGCTTTGTGCGTAACGTCAAACAAACAAACAAACTCCACGTTTTGTTTTACTCTTTCTCTGCATAATTCTTGGTATAAACAATGAGTTCCTGGTGTTTATTTTACTAGGAATTTATAACCTACTCTTTTATATATATATATATATATATATATGTCTCTATCTCAAATAGAAAAGTTATGTACAGAATGAAATACATTTGACTGTTCTGTGAAATGCGTAAAAAATATTCAGTTGTCTTGATAGTTTTTTAGGTGTTGTCCTTTAAATGCAATAACTTACAAAGCGCGTGATTATAACGCTACGATTATTAGTTTGACGAAGTGTATTTCTCTGTTCACTTATAAAGAAAGCTGTGGAATTACACAAGAGCATGTCAAACTTTTCAATGAGTCTTCGAATTCTGAAATGTAGCCTCAACTGTCCAGAACGATTGAATTAAATTTTATTTAATTAAACACATGCCCATTTCAAACTATCATCACATCTTGAAAAGTTTTATTTGTTTTATAACAAATTCATTTAATAAACAATAAAGTGTGAAATTTCAATGTGTAAATACTTAACCTATCACTAGATGTCGGTAGCTATTTTGTTTTACTTATGAGAACAAAGGACTGGTCTGTTTACCTTTGTGATAAGTGTCTGAGCCTCTGGTGTATCCGCCAGAAGAGACAGAGCACGTGCTGCCAGAAGCGCCACGACACCAGGTGTATTCAACAATCTCACAAATGTATCCAAAGCGCCCTCTTTTAAGGCTGAAAAACATAAAATGCATCATTATAATATATCACTGGATGAATAAATATTTACTTCGTTCTCTTAGTCTATTGAAGTCAAGCTACGAGTATATCAAATTTTTGTCTTTACGTAGAGTCACTTTATTTTACAGTTCCAAGGGTGTAAAGATGAACATCTAAACACCCATTGTAATATTTTTCTCAATTTGTAATTCAGAGATATTTATTAAAATCTGAGATATTCTGTTGGTCTAAAGCATTCGTGTTCAACTTCGAAATATAACACGTGAACAAAATGAATAAACACCCAGCTTTTTAGTTCTTTGAACAACGCATTCCAAGTGAAGTCGTGTACAGGGCCAAACAAACGTGTATAAAAATTACATTCTTATAATCGGTTAAACGTGTAATATTCGTTTTTGGTTTCCGATTCATCACAAAACGGGATCGATTTCTTTAAAGATTATATGCAAACCGGCTAAAATACGACATTTATTAAAGTGAGCCGATATTTATCTTTACCAAGAACGGAAGAGGCGCCATTTCTTTGAAATATTTGAAAATAATCATATCTATGAGTAACAATTAGTTCAGTTTATTCATTTTAAATTAAATTAATTAATTCGATTACATTATCCGAAACTGACGAAAAAGGCCAGGCATGGCCAGGTGGTTAGGGCACTCTACTCGCAATCTGCAGATCACGAATTCGAATCACCGTCCCACCAAACATGCTCGGCCTTTCAGCCGTGGGGGCATTATAATTTGACGGTCAATCCCACTATTCTTTGGTAAAAAGAGTAGCCCAAGTGTTGGCGGTGGGTGGTGATGACTAGCTGCCTTTCCTGTAGTCTTACACTGATAAGCTAGGCACGGCTAGCGCAGATAGCCCTCGTGTAGCTTTGCGCGAAATTCAAAATAAACAAACTGACGAAAAAATAGTTAATCAAATATTCTCTAGAGATAGAAGTATCGCAACAACTTTTCTGTTTTGAAATTTTAATTTAAACCAACATGTACAGTTCCTTAAGCCCATGTATATAAAACTTGTGGTATTTACGTCGGCACCAATGTGGTGACTAATAAAATATACCAGTAGTTAACGCTATGAACAGTATGTGGTATTCTCATGTGCACTAATTTCCCTTCAGGTAATCGTATATAAAAGGAGTCTCAACAAAAAATTTAAACTGAATTCTAACCGAGTTTAGAGTAAGAAAGATACTAGAAATAATGTAACTCACAGTAAAAACTCTTAAATTCTATCAAAATTTACAAGTGCACAAGACGAAAGACAACGTTTTACTCTCTCAAAAAAAGCCCAAGAACTTGCTAACTTTAGACTTTTATTTGTTAAACTTAGAACTTAAACTCCACTTAAATAAGGGAGAGAGAATTTGATCTTACCAGAGAGATAACGACAGTGAGACTAACTTACAGAGCTCAGTATTATATGTACAAATATATAATTTCATCGCTTCTAGTACGTTTGCTCTATCTACATCATTATTGGTCATGTCAATAGAAAAATAAAAGATGATATATCATTAAGGAGCCCCTCGGTGACTCAGCTGTAAGTTTATGGACGTATAACGCTCAAAATCACAGATAGCCCATTATGTAGCTTTGAGCTTAAACACAACAAATGATCTCAAGGTATCATTTGACCTGCCAGTGGAAAAGACCTCTAAACACCTTTACATTGCGTGTTTCATTTTATAAGAATCTTCCACGCGAGAAAGCGCACGTGATGACCCAGAACACACAGAATATTAGGTAACAACAACGGGAGGAACTTGATCCCATTCCTTAATCAATAAACTACTTTTAAACCTACATATACTTGCACACACGTTTTTTTGTTGTTTTTTTTTAATTTCAGATGGACTTTAAAAATTCATTTTACTAAATATAGGCGATAGAAGACACTTTGTATGCCTGCATAATACTAGTCAATGGTTTCTAATGTTTAATGAGCAGCATTAGATATAATGAACGAAAACAAAATACCATTTGGCTGCACAAAATGATACTGGGCAAGCCCGGCGCTAGTTGTTTTGTTGCGCTAGGTTAATATTTAAATTTACTTTCCCACTTCATTTTATACCTTCAATTGTGTAACAAAATAATTAAGTATATTTAGCAGTCTATACCCCTTTTCTTACGTTTGTTTTATTACTGAGACTTACTTGTGTCGCAAATAAGGTACTTTAGGAAAGCGTGTGCAGCTGAAACGGAACAATTCATAATAATTTTCGCAAGGAAAGATCATCCTTATTTCTAATTCTTAAGCCTGTGGCTTTGAAATAGTAGTGAGTCTTATGGTCGCAGGTTTAATCCCCGTTACCGAACATGCTCGCCCTATCAGCCGTGGGGGTGTAATAATGTGACGGTCAATCCCACTATTAGTTGGTAATAGAGTAGCCCAAAAGTTGGCGGTGGGTGGTGTTGAGTAGCTGCTAAATTAGGAACGGCTAGCGCAAATAGCCCTCGTGTATCTTTGCGCGAAATTCAAATCACACAGAGAAAACATTTGTAAGCATGATTAAT